CTCAGTTAAAACCTAAAAGCCACTCAGTTGAATTTATTCCTCCAAACAGATCAACCGCTTCAGCACAACTACCTTTTTCAAAGGGAGCCCTTCAGTTCTGATGACCAACATCTTCAGAGGAGTCCAGCCCTTGAATGACAGAGTTGTGACATCACAGCCCTCCGCAGCACCCACACACACTACATCTATCATCACACTTCTCCTCTTGTCAAGTTTGTGCTGGCTGTAAAACACACATTTGGGTTTTTGTGCACACCAACATGAGCTTGTTAAATTTAATTGATTTCTATGTGAAGAAATGATCAGCTTTATTGATCATGTTTGACAATGCTTAATGTTTTCTGTGACTATTAAACTTTTGTCACTTGCATCTTCTTATCTTGATGATCCTTGACTGTTCGTAATTCTACCCATTGTATTTTTAAATTCCCAATTTGCTATGTGTCACAATAACATGAGGCCTATGATATACATTTTTTTAAAATCCAAAATAGACTGCTAATGTTTTATATGAAATTTCAACATTCTGTTAGGCTGGTTAAAACCAGACCATTCTCAGTTGTAAATGAGATATGGTCTGGTGTAACCCCTACAACCGGGTCCCACTCGACCCGCTCCGAGCGGGCCTCGAACCCGGGTCTCCGGCATGAGAGTCAGGCGATCTAACAAGAAGGCTAAAGACTGCAGCCTCTAGCGTCTGTCGCTAGAGCACCTATTGAGATCAGAGGAGTGAGGTTTACTCACACAGCAACTACTAGCTGGCCTCCGTTACACTCACCCCCCTAAACCTCACTCTCACCCGGGTCACGGCACCAATGTAACCCCTACATCCGGGTCCCACTCGACCCGCTCCGAGCTGGCCTCGAACCCGGGTCTCCGGCGTGAGAGTCGGGCGTGCTAACAAGGAGGCTAAAGACTGCAGCCTCTATTGTCTGTCGCTAGAGCGCCTATTGAGGTCAGAGGAGTGAGGTTTACTCGAACAGCTACTACTAGCTGGCCTCTGTTACACTCACCCCACTAAACCTCACTCTCATCCGGGTCACGGCACCAATGTAACCCCTCACACCCGGGTCCTACTCGCCCCGCTCCGAGCGGGCCTCGAACCCGGGTCTCCGGCATGAGAGTCAGGCGTGCTAACAAGGAGGCTAAAGACTGCAGCCTCTAGCGTCTGTCACTAGAGCGCCTATTGAGATCAGGGGAGTGAGGTTTACTCGCACAGCAACTACTAGCTGGCCTACGTTACACTCACCCCCCTAAACCTCACCCGGGTCACGGCACCAATGTAACCCCTACATCCGGGTCCCACTCGACCCGCTCCGAGTGGGCCTCGAACCTGGGTCTCCAGCATGAGAGTCAGGCGCTCTAACAAGGTTTACTCGCACAGCAACTACTAGCTGGCCTCCGTTACACTGGCAAAGCGTCATAGACTAATCATTTCCAGAGGGGCGTCACCAACAGACGTCGCGGGTAGACCTAAAACCAATCAGAGCGATGAAGGAGATGACGTATGCAGAGCGGCGGAGAAACATCTCCGAGTGTTATTCTTTGCTCGGTTTTTCACAAAAAGGAAACGTTCAAATCGCTTAAAAACAGCTGCTTCGAGGGAGTGATGTACGATGGCGGCATCCATCTTTGTAATATAGACAAGTTTCCTGGGCACTTCCGGTTTACTTCCTGATTCTGCCAAAAACTTCCGGCGCAGGATGAATAGTGGTGTAAACATGGCTTTTGGAATGGCAACATTCAACGAATTCCCATTCCACATCCAAAGTAAGGTAACATCATGGGCGGACAACATGCCGATATGGCCCATGCTTTGTATGGGCAAAACTAGAGATTAGGGTATTTTATTAATTCTGGACATAACATTTTCGCTTGGCCTACGGTAATAATATCATAACATTTATGATCACTGATTACGAGCAAGGTAACAAAATCTACAGTTTAAGGCAGTAACTTGTAAGCACACAGCACAAGACAATTGTATGTAAAATCAACAAAGACTTTATTAAACTATTCTAATACACATAAACTAATCTAACGAAAATATACATTCATTCAAACAGTGACAGAAAAGGTAATGTAATTAACAGAGTATGAATGGAGTCCAAAATTTCTAGCATTAGCCACTATTTCTTGACCGCAACCTGAGAGAATCAAAATACTAGTAATTCAACCTTCGTTCGTTTGCTTAATAGGACTTGCACCAGTTCAGCATTACATTTGCATTTATTCGTTTAGCTGACACTCAGTTCTTCTCTCTCCTCCTTCACTTCTCGCAGTTCTTCTCTCTCCTCCTTCACTTCTCTCAGTTCTTCTCTCTCCTCCTTCACTTCTCTCAGTTCTTCTCTCTCCTCCTTCACTTCTCTCAGTTCTTCTCTCTCCTCCTTCACTTCTCTCAGTTCTTCTCTCTCCTCCTTCACTTCTCTCAGTTCTTCTCTCTCCTCCTTCACTTCTCTCAGTTCTTCTCTCTCCTCCTTCACTTCTCTCAGTTCTTCTCTCTCCTCCTTCACTTCTCTCAGTTCTTCTCTCTCCTCCTTCACTTCTCTCAGTTCTTCACTCTCCTCCTTCACTTCTCTCAGTTCTTCTCTCTCCTCCTTCACTTCTCTCAGTTCTTCTCTCTCCTCCTTCACTTCTCTCAGTTCTTCTCTCTCCTCCTTCACTTCTCTCAGTTCTTCTTTCTCCTCGCTCTCCTCCATCGGGTCTGAAATGAAAGAATTTTTATTGTCAGTACAAAAAAGGTTAACAAAAGTAATATGAAGTTAAATGACATAAAAAGAGCTTCAAAATAGTCATTTCCCTAAATGAGGTACACTGATCTTCTAATAATTATTTTTCAAATGTTATAGACACAAATGCCATGTTTCTGTAAGAACTGTTAAATACATTTGATGAAATGACACAATTATCTAATGTAATATTTGCATTATAGCATATACAATAGTGTCGTAATGTTGATACCAATGTTTTAATAGATATTTAGTTTATTTTACTTAAAACCTTTTAATTATTACAGTCCAGTCAAACTATAAAACTTTAATTCCCATGATACTAGTAACATGATCAACATACTAGTAATTCAACCTTCGTTCATTTGCTTAGTAGGACTTGCACCAGTTCAGCATTACATTTGCATTTATTCATTTAACTGATGCTTTTATCCAAAGCGACTTACAATTGATATATATGTCAGAGGCCGCACGCCTCTGGAGCAACTAGGGGTTAAGTGTCTTGCTCAGTGTCTCACATACCCCTTTTCCACCAAGGCAGAGCTGGTGCTGGTTCGGAGTCAGAGCCTAGTTTCAAATCGGTTCTTTTTTTTTTTTTTTCGACCACCAAAGCACCAGCTCCGAACCAGTAAAAGTGGTTCTTAAGTAACACCAAATCATTGCTGGTCTAGAAGTAAGAACCGCTTACGTCAGCAGCTGGGGGCGGGGTTACCTTGACAAACAAGACGAATAGAAACTTGTAACCGCCATTTTTTAAATAGCAGCTAATCATGCTAATAGCAGCTCGATTGTAATCTCCGTTAATGCAAGTTACGGCCAGCTGCACGAACGTGCTGTATTCGCCATGTTTGGATACCGATGTAGGTTTGCAAAGGCATGAGCATAAATAGTAACGCAACAACCGCCATTGGTGATGGAAGGCTTGTTCGAGATGCATCGGAGCAGGGTGGACTGATCGGACCTGCGGGAGTGTTTGAAGAGTTTACGACTCCTCCTGCTTTTAAATCGAATCTTTTTCTAATGTTTTTCACTCTGCTGGAGTGACTCTGAGAGGGTTTTTTGAAGAGCATGTAAGTGTACACACTGGATGATGAAAATGTCCAAACAAAATCAAAGCAAGATCAAAAGTCACTGCAATAGTTAGGCAAAAAGCAACGCAGAGCTGCTTGTCATTGGGTTATAAGTGTGTCCATCCGAGTGTCCTTCCAAGTGTGTCAGCCATCAGATATTGTCTTGGACGGGACCTCGTGCATGAGAATTGACGTCGTCCATAGCAACGATGACTCACTCTTAGTTTAGGAGTTGTCATTTTTCCTTACTAAGAGTAGGTCTGAAAGGCATTGTGAATAACCTTTAAGAGAAAACTCCTAGCTAAAATATTTTAGTGCGATTTAGGAGTACTCCTAGTGGTAAGATAAAATTCTTTGTGAATACGGCCCCAGGATAAAGGAGAATTAACAAGCCTATATGACGCTTTTCCACTACACAGTACCAGCTCGACTCGACTCGCCTTTGTTTGGTTTTCCACTGTGTAAAAGTTGTACCTGTACCTGCTTTCGGGTACTTTTTTGTACCACCTCCAGCGAGGTTCTGAGTGAGCTAAGGCGTTACTAAAATCATGTCACGCGAAAACAATGCCGACTGCTGATTGGTCAGATAGAATCATCACCATTCACATCATTACACACGCCAGATGGAGTATCCAGAGTAACCCTGCTATTTTTAAATAGTTTGGCCAGAGATAGTCATTACACTTACACTATTATTGTGACAACTCGGAAGAATACGCCGTGGTCAAACGAGGAGGTGCAGACTTTCTTTTGTTTGGTTGCTGAAGAGAGGATCCAGCAAAGCTTGATAGGGCAACGAGGTACGAAAGGCACCACTATGACGACCGGGTACTATTTGTGGCGGTACTGTATGCAATGGAAAACGAAGCGAAAAGCGAGCTGAGTCAAGCCGAGGCAGGTTTTCCATACTGGTAATGGAAAAGCGGCATATGATAAGAGAGACATGCAGACGTGAGCCTGAGACACGTTCACTTAGCCTGGATGCCAATCCGAACTCCGCACACAACATTTTTTGGTCGGGAAGTTCGGTCTGGACTCGATCCATTGAGGGGTAATTATGATCAGGCAAAAAATGATCGGGCCAATCAAATTGCCAGGGCGGGCTTTAAACAATGGACAGATGATCTGCAAGGACGTAATCATCACGTTATCAAAGAGTGCTTAACTGGTTTCCCTCAAAGATGACTGCAGCTGGAGAATTGAGATGTATAGATCACGTCTGTTGTTAAATAAATCGACAGCGCATTAATTTTAATAGACAAACAGAGAACTGCAATCAAGGCATTTGTCGACCGGAAAGATATTTTTGGCGTCCTTCCTACATGATTCGGCAAAAGTGTAACTTATCAGCTGGCTCTGACGGTCGCTAATAAGATGGGACGTAATGAAAAGCCTGTGGTCGTTGTGGTTTCTCCTTTGGTCGCACTCATGGAGGACCAAGTAAAAGAAGCAACACTCGTTATTTTACTTCTAAAATAAGTAAGTTCTGTAGTCGACAACTGTGCTATGCAAAGTATTTGACTTATTGCGTTGCTCTGATTGGTTGTAGATCTACCGACTATCCAATTGAGTGCAGTTTTTTTTCCCTGGTTCGGTTAAGACACGCCTCATAATCAAAGCCCTACAGAGAGGTATCAGACTCATCAGTATCAGACAATGAAGATCCTCATGTGTTTCTTAAAGTTTCCTTTATCCATAAAGCTCTTCCCGAATTGATCACATGTGTAAGGTTTCTCTCTGGTTCTCCCATCAGGTCTAAAGGCCCGTTCACACTAAAGGCTAATTTATACTTCTGCATAGGGTGCGCGCAGTAGGTATGGCGTAGGTCCCATACCGCGTACACTTCGCCGTAGCCTGACACGCACCTCCTCAAAAATGTAACTACACATCGCGACGACGCGGACCACAAGATCGGTGATTGGTCGGCTTGGTAGCATCGCATTTCCTCCTACGCATTTCCGCACGTACCTTCTCACGCATTTCCACACGTACCATCTCCTCCGACGTCTGCTCTCATTTCTGCCTTTCAGTTTTAGTAATTTCACTAAAATGAACTGTTTTTCCACCTCAATAAGCTCTAACTCCAACATGATCAGCTCTCTTTCAGTCGCTACTGCTTGTAGTAACCTAAAAGCTTTTTGTTTTGGGAACACGATCGATATCCTTAAAAGACGAGAGGACTTGGGAGCACATCTAAACAGTGAATCTAGCAAGTCTAGTGTAATATGTGGATTTAGCTGACGAAGTCAATGATGGGATATAAAATCATCGACTAGTACTTCAGCAATGTTGTCAACTAGCGCTGGATAGCCTACCTGAGGTAATTTGAGGTGACTTGTCAAAGAGTGGAGGATTTTTTTGTACCTCGACGATTAACTTCTCTGCAATGTCATTTGCCATTTTAAATGCGCGATTCTGATTGGTTGTCAGTGTTTTATCGTTGGACAGCTGGAAAAAAAAATCGTTCTGAAAGTGATCCCAACGATATCGTTCCTCATATCTTTATCGTTATAGCTCTGGTGTGAACTCTGTTATTCTTTGATATAAAGAACGATTTTTAGAATTATATCTTTATAGTTATCGTGCTTGGTGTGAAAAGGCCCTTTAAAGAAACATTAAATCATGTGACATTTCAAATGAGAGAAACTTTGTGAAATAAAAAGATCAAGTCAAGATCACTGATGAGTTCAGTAGTAATTTTAAACCAATCAAATCTGGTTCGAGGAAAGGTCAATTTCACATTTAGGAAACTGGACATTTGTATGTTCTTGGAATGTTACAAATCAACGTTCGTAGAATTTTTAAGTTAAATTGAAATTGTTGAAAGTACGTTTGAGGAGCATTATTCCTTTTAAAATACATTCCTCTAACTTCAAGAAAACTGGAAATAATTTACGTTCCCAGAACCAACATTCTGAATATTTGGAGAACGTTCTTATTAAAAAAAAAAGTCTGTAAGCTGGGGAACTACTTACCGTGATTGCTGTGATGTGGTTTCTCCACTGAATGGATCATCATGTGTTGTTTCAGGTGAGTTTTAATAGAGAAACTCTTTCCGCACTGATCACACGTGTGCGGCTTCTCTCTGCTGTGGATCTTCTCATGTGTTTTCAGATGTGTTGATCGACTAAATACCTTGTCACAGTGTGAACACTTGTAAGGTTTTTCTCCAGTGTGGATCATCTCATGTGTTTTCAGAGTTGCTGACTGACTGAATCTCTTGTCACAGTGTGAACACTTGTAAGGTTTTTCTCCAGTGTGGATCCTCTCATGTATTTTCAGAGTTGCTGACTGACTGAATCTCTTGTCACAGTGTGAACACTTGTAAGGTTTTTCTCCAGTGTGGATCTTCTCATGTGTTTTAAGACTTCCTAATCGACTGAATCTCTTGTCACAGTGTGAACACTTGTAAGGTTTTTCTCCAGTGTGGATCTTCTCATGTGTTTTCAGATATGATGACTGATTGAATCTCTTGTCGCAGTGTGAACACTTGTAAGGTTTTTCTCCAGTGTGGATCTTCTCATGTGTTTTCAGATATGATGACTGATTGAATCTTTTGTCACAGTGTGAACACTTGTAAGGTTTTTCTCCAGTGTGGATCCTCTCATGTGCTTTCAGATGTATTGACTGATTGAATCTTTTGTCACAGTGTGAACACTTGTAAGGTTTTTCTCCAGTGTGGATCCTCTCTTGTGTTGTCACTTCTGCTGACTGATTGAATCTATTGTCACAGTGTGAACACTTGTAAGGTTTTTCTCCAGTGTGGATCCTCATGTAAATCTCAAAACTATGTTTGTTTGTGAAACTCTTTCTACACTGAGTGCAGGTGAAAGATTTTTTTGCTCTTCTTTTCTTCAAAAATGTATTTTTAGTCTTTGAGCAACTAGAGGGTTTTCCTTCTTCCTCCACTTCACTCAGTTCTTCTCTCTCCTCGCTCTCCTCCATCGGGTCTGACATGAAAGAATTTTGATTGTCAGTACAAAAAAAAGGTTAACAAAAGTAATATGAAGTTAAAGGATAACAAATAGTCATTTCCATAAATGAGGTACACCGATCTTTTAATAATTATTTTTAAAATGTTATAGAAACAAATCCCATGTTTTCATAAGAACTGTTAAATGCATTTGATCAAATGACACAATTATCCAATGTAATATTTGCATTATAGCATATACAATAGTGTTCTAATGTTGATACCAATGTTTAGATTGATATTTAATTTATTTCACTTAAAACCTTTTAATTATTACAGTCCAGTCACACTAGAACTTTAATTCCCAATGACTCCCATTCATTCGCATGTGAACGTGGGACATCAGAAACACAAGTGGAACGCCAATTATTGGTCATTTATATCATAATTTAAAGTCCCTGTAAAGGCAATTCTACAAAAAAATTCTATACACATTATAAATGTTATAAATGCTAAAACATATTACAAAGACAGCGAACTGTGAAGTACTGAAATATAGAGTTAGACCGTTAAACAGTTTTCCACCTTTGCTATTTTACGTTTTTTTGGGGGGGCGGGGCTAAAACAGGGCTCGATACACGCACTGGAGCCCATGAGCTCGTGGACACGCCCCTACTTGATGACGCACTGAGGCCAGGCCATTGAGGCTGATCTCTCCCCTAACAATAGAGCACATTCGCATTCGCCGCTCAATCGCGAGTTACTGTCAGTACTATTAGTTACTACAGTCTAGTGTTGTGACGGTGAGGATATTTTCTCACCGGTTAATCGACGTGTGACAACACCGGTAATACCGGTGTCACCGGCGGGGGCTTTTAAATCGCTAATTTAAAGGCAAACGTAAAATGCGCACGTTTTCACGGGCATACATAACGGTGCGGTAGTGCGGGAAAGAACTGTTTTGTTATTGTGCCCTGAATACGCGCTAGTTTGAAAACAAAACTAACTTTTGATTGACAGACATGTGATCTGACCATCTGAAAATCCACCATTTTTGTCCAACAAAGCAGTCAGGAGAGTTATAGAATAACGTGGCTTTATCAGGCAATCTGTCACGACACATTAAGGGCCAATCCCAATTCTACCCCTTACCCCTTCCCTTTCCCCTAGCCCTACCCCTTCACCTTCCCCTTGACCCTTGAAACAGAGTGGCAATGCGTAGGGGTGAAAATATTCCCCTAAGAAATGGGACACCACTACGCCTCCGTTAAACGTCATTATAAGTCGTCGCTAGCGCCTACGTCACAGGAGATGCGCCGATGTTTATCACAACTTCCAAGATCCCGTCGACAGCTGCAGTTATCTCAGTCGCGTGGGTTACAGCTATTTTCTTGCATTTATCTTGTGAAGTTCGCAGGAAACAACGGAGACGACGAAAATATGTTGCGGGACTATCGTTAGCAAACTACAGTAATTTTAGCGATTTTTTTTTTTAACAAACGTTTCTGTGAAGAAACTGACCGTAAATATGAACACAATATTGAATGTAACATAAAGCAAATCATTATTTGTCGTTATAATGCTTATTAAAGCCACAAATACTTAAATGTATGGGTCTCCTTTGTCGCTTGGGCAGCCAGCCTGGGTTAGCAGTGACACTTCTCATACCCCTTCGTTTGAAGTGTGCTCCCGAAAAATCTTCGTTTGAAGGGCTATCTGGCCCTTCCCCCTAGCCCTCCCCCTCCAACCAAAAGAGAATTGGGACAACCCTACCCCTTCACGTGGACGCGCAAAACGGAGGGGAAGGGGAAAGTGAAGGGGTAGAATTGGGATTGGCCCTAAAGAGCCACAAAACGGTAGGCCTATTTATTGTTTGATTTTCTTTGACTGACCAAATTTGAAAGTAGACTGAAAGAAAGAAGACTGTTTCATATTAAATATTACCTGCTCGGTCCTGTCTGTCAACGCGTTGTCAATGTCCTCTATTTTTCACTGCTTGAGAACATGGGTTGAATCCGAAATCGCCCCCTAAACCCTCATTTACTAGGCCTATTCCCTACATTAGTCCACTAATACTGTTCACTTGAAGGAGTGAATGAGAAGGAGTAAGTAAAAACGAGTGAGCAAATTCGGACAGCCGTTGCTGACAGAGACGCGATCTGTCACGCGTCCCGTTTTCTCAAAATCTCTACGTTCGTTTAATACTGCTCTTATGGACATTTTTGCATAATTTGTGTGTTATGGTTTGTTCAAGCCCGAAAGAGAACTCGATACCAACGCGCGTCTTTTCTGTGGGTCGTGTGTGTGTTAATAGGCAGGATTTAACGACTACTGCGTAATTGCGTTCAATATTTTTAAGGCTTTAAATTTTTTTATTTATTTTTTTCACATGCCAACCACAGTGGTGATGTCATAAAACCGGTGTAGCGACTTAACACCGGTAACACCGACTACTGTAGCAAGCCTACTACAGTCTACAGTTTGCTAGCTAGCGATGCCTTCGACACGGAAATGCATAGGCTACTACCTGGATGCGATCATGTAGAAAACAGATCGGCGTCTTGATTTAAATTTCCTAAAAACGATCACATCAAGAAGAGGTCGATTAATTTTGTGTAGAGCCAACCTTGATGAAGACAGTTCACTTTGTGTATACAGGCGGCGCCATCTTTGGAAAACAGTCTCGATAAGTCGATCCCCGAACGACCTGCTGAGTGATCTGAACTGTATGAACGGCGTTCGGGGATCGACTTATCGAGACTATTTTCTAAGACGGCTCCTGTCTGTATACACGAAGTGAACTGTCTTTATAAAGTATCTTCTTATTAAACGGTCTGTACACTTACAAAGTTCTCAATGCTCTGTTTTGCATGTATGGACCCTCATTATGTTACTGTGTTAGTGTGGGGCTATTTTGAGCCTTGTTAGTGGTATAAACTAGCGATTTCTTTTTACTTAGTAAATGCCCCCAGTACTAGCATTATACGCTAAACAGTTTTTAGAGATAAAACTCTTTACATTCGATTATTATTATGAATAAATCAAAAGAAGGGCTGTACAAATCAGATATAGATACGGACTAGTGCCTGTGAATATTAAAGCTTAGAAAGTGTAAGGCTGAAATAACCTCAGATACTTTGAACTTCTGAGATACATGAACATGAATGTTCTCCAGCATCATGAATGAATGAAGAATAAACACCAACCTCTTTGTTCTTCAGGATCTTCAGTGTGTTTCATTCTGCAGGGTTCTGGATCACTCATGTTCTTACTGTCCTCTTTAATAAACTCAGTCTTTGCAGATTTCAGCTCTTCCTGATGCTCTGATGATCGTCTTCACTTGCAGCTGATGGGAATTTACAGCATTTATAGGGGAATTAAAGTGGGAGGAGCTTCACTGATGATGTAATTGCTGTGGGAGGAGCTGATGTGCCAAAATCAAAATTATATATCACTTACTGAGTTTGTTTTAATAGGGTCAAAGGCCAGAAGTTTAATTTTAGAGTGATATTAAATTTATTTATTTATATACATAGAAAACCCAGTAAATGCAAGTTTAATGTTTGAAACAACTTTAGTGAAAACAAAATGCCAGAAAAATAGGTGAAATAATGTTGGATTCATTCAGCATTACATAACAATTATTCTTTAAGTATAATTACTTTTTTTAAAAACTTATAAAAGAATAAGAGATTATACTATATGTAATTATATTTAAATGATAAAAAACTTCAAAAAAGTGGTTTGAAAGATAGTGGCAAAAGTATTACACTGAAAATTAATAAGTATGTTGGAGCTGCACTATAATAAAATCAAACTACTCTGCACATTTAAGCACACACACACACACACACACACACACACACAGATAAATATATAATAATGTTAGAATTAGAAATAAAACTCTCTTTACGATAGACAGACATATATATATATATATATATATATATGCCTGTCTATCGTAAAGCAATTGTTATTTCTAATTCTAACATTATTTGATTTCTTTAAAAAAAAATAATGGCATATATCTAGAAAAGTAGTAAAGAACTGTAAGAAAAACATTTAAAAGCATAAAAGACAAAAAAGATGCTAAGCAACAAATCACCTCAGTCTGATGACACCAATGAAATGAGATTTAAGTGACAATTTACAGGAGATCTGAAGACATCAGCATAATAAATGAGGTGAAAACAGGAACTATTGTCATGAAATAAAGAGTGTTTTCAGCAGATCTGTTAATATTGATGATCCTCAGACTATCAACACTCATTCAACAAGCCATTCAGCAGGATACATGATAAAAGCCAGTAAAACTGCTCTACCCATGGGGATAAAAAATGCTAAGTATAGGTCTACTTACTGCCAGAAAAATTTAAGTGATAAGTTAATAATTAGTTAACTTGAAGTGTGCTATTTTAGAACAACTATTTTTTTACTAAGTATATTTTAGTTGTAATTTAATTGTTGTAGAGCACAACTTTAAGTGTATTTAATGTACATTTGTGAGCTAAATTGAAACAACTTGGAGTATACTTACTCTTATGTAAAAAGTATACTTTAAGTAATATATACTATAAGTAAATGCCTGTAGGGACTAATTACATGGTTGATTAGATAAATTAAGGTGCACTTTATTTGTGTTACAAGGACATTTCAAATTCATTACGAGTGTCTTCAAAACATACAAGCAATATAGCATAAGTGTATTATATTTGAGTAAAAAGCATGTGCTCAGTCACCTATGTATAGGTACAGTATGTGGACATATCAATAAATAGCGGCCGCCATTGTGTTCCAAATCTCTGTGCCGGATTTTACTGAATAACTCTGAGCGGGTCTCCTCAAATGCGCTGTTTTTATTGACTCACTCTCACTGTGGGAATCCTTGATTATTTTTAGCCAATCACATCATTAGGGTTTTCGACTGCACATTTGTTTTACATTTTTTTCTAGTCACATGTTTGTGGTGTGCTGTACAAAATTTCGTGGCCATTTAAACTCCCCCACTTTTTTTTATGATGACCGACATTGAACGTTACCTGTAGAAGAGCTGTCAAAATGCAGGGCGTCGTGTAGGCTACAATCAACATGTGTGGTCTCCTCCACTTTATTTCCTCCACCAGTGTTAGTTTTGTTAGTATATTCTTACACAACTGGAAATAGCATGAATCAACCAAAATCCATCTTTTAAATTAAGGATACATCATTTTCCTTGGATCGTTGTTTTCCATTCAATTATTTGTATATTCAACAACTGCTTGTCAGAAAAATACAATAAAAGATAGGCCAAATCAGTCTTTATGTGTGTTAAATTACAGCACGTTAGATCCAAATAACTATATGAAACCCATCTCCACAGAAAATTTCATTAAGATATCTTGAATATTGAAAAAGTTAAAAAACGACTTGTTTTCGCTCACACTAAATTCTATTGTTTTCACCTTAGAAATGAGACAATAAATGTTGTAACTTTCATCATACTTGACATATTTACTTTTTATTTATTTTTTAAAGGGGGTCTTTCCACATATGCTATCCATTTGTCTATTTGTTGAGTTTTAATTTTTTGTCCACATACCTACTATGTAGCCTATAAAAAATTGCCAGTAAAAAAAACAAACAAACAAAAAAGTAAGTGAGGTACGGATTAACATTAGTTAAATACTCTTTTCCGTTCATTAGTTAAATACTGATACCGATAATGTTCTGGGAGACCTGCTACTATGGTAACGAACTACACTTTTACATGCCTCTGATTGACAGATAAATCATGCAATCGTATTTCACTGTTGTTGAGTTTTTTTCAGCTTTGTACAACATTTGCTTCATACATTTACTGTAGTTTAACTGTATTGTTAAAGAGGGCAAGCTTTATCATTTAACTGAGCTGTGAATGCGTTTTAGACACTTACATTGTTCTTCCTCCGTCAGTGCAATAACTCCGTCCATGTTATGAGCCGAGTATTTTATTTCCTTTAACTGCTCAGTGCTCTGGTATTATCAATGGGATTACGTATTTCAGGTGTTGCTATTCACGTTTAAAATCAGAATATTCACTTACATTCACTGAAATATTGAAACGTTAGCGATACTGATACAAAACACGAGCGCCAGTCAACAACGCGCGGTTTGAACGTCCCGCCCCCCAGCCGAACAGAAAGTTTTGATTGGTTTTGCACCCAAGTCAGACCTGTCTGTTATTGGCTGAAGTGCTTCAGATCTGTCTGTTATTGGCTGAAGTGCTTCAGATCTGTCTGTTATTGGCTGAAGTGCTCCAGATCTGTCTGTTATTGGCTAAAGCGCTTCAGATCTGTCTTTTATTGGCTGAAGTGCCTCAGATCTGTCTGTTATTGGCTAAAGCGCAGTGCTCCACCCTTGTAGTTGAAGGGTGTAGTCCGCACCTCTGTCAAAGTGCTTCCATAGTATGGAGGACCAAGAAAATTTCCTGCAGAAATGAAAAATGAATAAATGGAAAAATAAATGTAATAAATGGATAAATAAATGTGATAAATGTTTAAATACATGTGAGAAATTTATGAAAAAAAATGATAATAGAAAAATAAAAAAGGAATAAACGACTTGATATAATAAATTATTCATTTTTAATCAAATTCATTTTTGTGTTTTTTTATACATTTTTAAATAAATTAAAAAATCGTTTTAACTTTATTTAAATTAATTATTTATTGATTTATTTTTATATTTATAGATTTATTCTTATGTTTATTGTTTATATTAACTTATTTATGCATTAATTTATTTATAGATTTATTTATTTCCACATATATTTACTTTTAGATTGTTTAATTTACTTTTACATTTCCATGTGTAACATAGAAATGAGGAAGGCGGTCCGTTGTAGCTTCAGTGCATCATTAGCCGCTTTCCGACCGGAGGGACTTTTGCAGTTCCTAGAACCTAACGTTCCTATAACCCTTTTTTTCTCGCGTTCCGACCGGACTAAATTGGGGATTTTTTAGTTCCTCAGACCGTAGTTCCTATAACTCTTTCAGTACCTAGTCTAGAGCGAGGACTTTTTTACTTCCCTTTCCCTAGATCTACGTTGATTGGTTCAACTTATAAGCCATGCCCACTGTCAACACGGAAATTGTAGCGCGCTGTCTGCCATACGCTGTGTGTTTTTGCAAAACATTACAACGAGGATTAAGACAAACGCATTCAACCAGCCAATTGCTAATGCTAGCTAAACTTACCCGTCGTTTTGTTTGCCACCTGCGCTCAGCTCTTTTATCTTCTTCAATCATATTACTTATTATCATATTACGCTGGAGCATTCGTCTTCAGTGTTTCTCTGTACAGAACTCAAGCATAATCTTTAAACGCCGCCGTTCATTCTCCGTTATTAAGGTCCCGGCAAGGCAGAATAGGAACATTGCAATAGCCTCCTCCATGCTGGTTTGTTGTTGTTGTATGTGGCCGCAAGACCGTCGCCGTGCTTGCGTTAACCCTCCTACCGGTTCCTATGGCCACTTGGCCAGTGCGAACGCAAGCAGCAAAACCGAGTTTGGGGGAGAGTAGTTCTTAGAACTGTTTAGAAGTGGACAGTTCCTATAACTAAGTTCCTGTAACTACTTGGTCGGAAAGTGGCTAATGTGATCCCTCTCAGCAGCATCTTCGTCATCCATCTCAGCAGCGCCATCAACGAGTGTGGAACCATCGACATCAGACACTGGTTTAAGGACACCCTGGCTGTGTTCGAAATCTCCACCACTGCTCCCTACCCCCTATGTAGGGATACATTGAGTGCACTATATAGGGTATAATAATCATTACTATACATTCGGACAGCACTACAAAATGGCGAGCTCACTATATAGTCCACTATATAGTGAGAAGTGGGAGATTTCGGACACAGCCCCTGAGTCAGACACCCAGTGGATGGTTGGTTTTCTAGATTAATGATTGTTCTGTTATAAAAACTGACTAGATCTTGACTGTAAATAACTTAAATGGTTACTTTTCTCAACCACCAATGGCTTCTATGAAAATCATGCCCCAAATAGTGGTTATTGTAAGCGCTATCCACCTTTTTCTGCTCTAAACAATGCGCGCTGCCATGACGACGACTTCGGTTGTCAACTTCCGGTTCGAGTCTGGTCTATGCTTTTTTGCCATGTGTTTTAGATTGTGTCATACCCACATCGCTAAACTAAATTGGAAAAAAAAAAAACATTCATCAAATGTGATCTGATCACGTTATTTTTTATTACATCACAGATAAAAGCAAAATGAACGTTTTTCTTTGCTTCATAACTTCCAAAGGATAGCTGATGCATGACTGCACGATCTCCTAATTCAGCAATGAACATCCGACAGTTTCGATCACTCCGACTGCTGCAGAATAACAGTAGGCTACTATAAGGTTAGGCTGGTTAACCCTTTGACTCCTGTCTACCTCTGCTTTCAAAGATGCATAGTCTAGCTATATATTTCTGGTTTGGCTATAGATAGCTATATATTTCTGTTTGAGGTTAGGCATTTGAGGTTTTATTCATGAGACCAAAGTCCAGTTTGCACGCTGTCGGCTCCGTCATGATCATCTATTGTTTACTATATACGTCTTATTTATTATAACAAGGCAATTGGTTGATGAAACATTGATTGAAATTAAGATACACTTGGTGAAAAAATGAAATTCACCCTAAAGAAAGGTTTCTTTGTGGTTTTTCTTTAAGATGTGTGTAAAAGTTTTAAAGTCGCTTTCAGTATGGTCATGCCCGTGAATATAAAACGAATGTGTATACTGATATTTTACTAATGTCTGGACCACTGATCTATATAATTTATCATTCTAGATAAACTATCATTCTAGGCCACAAGGACAGACTCAAACACAGGAACAGATGCTGGCTCGGGAACAGACAACACACGCGCTGGCTCGGGAACAGGAACAGACACCGGCTTAGGAACAGACACCGGAATGGCCATCTTATCCGGAGACACTGGCTCAGCCATCTCGTCCGGAGACACTGGCTCTGCCATCTTGTCTGGAGACACTGGCTCGGCCATCTTGTCTGAAGACACTGGCTCGGCCATCTTGTCTGGAGACACTGGCTCGGCCATCTCGTCCGGAGACACTGGCTCTGCCATCTTGTCCGGAGACAATGGCTCGGCCATCTTGTCCGGAGACACTGGCTCAGCCATCTTGTCCGGAGACACTGGTTTTGGCCATCTTGTCCGGAGACACTGGCTCGGCCATCTTGTCTGGAGACACTGGCTTAATTTTCCTTGAGCTTTTGACATCTAAGAGGTCATCATATTATAAGAATATCCTGTAAGTTTCAGGACTGAAAACGTCCTTGTTAGTCCAATAAAAGCTTTTATTGACACAGCCTCTAAAAACGACTCGTTTTTAAAAGTGGGGAACTATGACGACAAAGAGGATAAAACACCACCCCCACAGAAGATGATCAACGCCTGCTTCACCACGGCAGGTTTAGCCCCGCCCACCGATTCGCGTATTACACACATAAGTATCATACATGTACATGCTTACCTCGTGATGACAAACTGGATCGCTACCGAGCAATACAGAATATTGTGCAGTGCCTGGTTGTGCAAGACAGTCGCTGCATAAGCTTCCTGTGGATTCCAATAGGACTGCATGGATAAACTTTATTTTTAATGACGTTCCAGCTGATGAGGTAAAACATCGTCGTCTGTTCGCTTCATTTCACTGAGGATTGTTTTGTCAACAAGACTGGATTTGCAGACCGATTAAGAGTAAAGAACGGTGCTGTGCCGTCTATATAGGATCTGACAGGAATATTGTCAATAGAGTCTGTCTGCATCCTGCAAGACTTCAAGGTACCTCTGTTCCAGTCCGCAGACAGACCCATCTCAATATTGTCCAACACACGGACTCTGGGTTGAACATGTATGGGCGAATCCGGTTGCCATTTTACAACATTGGACGTTTTCCCCCATGTGCACCGACGGGTGAGTTAAACTCATTATAATATGCAAAACTGTTCTCCACTCGCAGCAGTGGGTGTTTACTTCCAAGTCTTCAGTGCGACACGCCCATAAAAACCGACTGTTTTTTAGGTAGGCTCACAACCAGGGTACAACATAGCCTATTACTTGTTAATTTTGATGTTTTTGAATGCAAAAACCAAGCGAACGTTATAAGTTGACCTCAGACAACAATATAATAACATTTAAAAAGCCAGTTCATGACCCCTTTAACTCACACCCACATTAACACACTTAGCTTATTAAATACATTTCTGCACCTGAACAGACAAAGATCCAAACGACAGTCCATATGAGCTTACCGATAGCCCGTCACAATCAAAAGTCTCATTCCTCACCATGGATGCATAATGCTTCTGCCGTCCTCTCAGTCCATTGTATTACAGCCAAATGACTGCATCGTGTAAATGTGCTCCCGCTCATTGAACTGAGCGTGAGCTTCTGATTACCCTAATTTAATTCACCTGGATGCAAGTGTGCCAAGTCGCGCACAGTCACGTGCGCGCTACCAATGCAGACCGGCACGCAGATAAGACACCATAGAGGAGGAGGAAATGAGACAGGCTCACGGGAGACAAACGCACAGCGGGACAGTGGCCATCTTGTCCGGAGACATTGGCTCAGCCGTGGCCATCATGTCCGGAGACACTGGCTCGGCCGTGGCCATCTTGTCCGGAGACACTGGCTCGGCCATCTTGTCCAGAGACACTGGCTCGGCCATCTTGTCCGGAGACACTGGCTCGGCCATCTTGTCCGGAGACACTGGCTTGACCATCTTGTCCGGAGACACTGGATCTGTAGAAGTGACGTGAATAGTCTCTGGATCGGCAGAAGTGACGTGAACAGTCTCTGAAAGGCAGAAGTGACGTGAACAGTCTCTGACAGGGCAGAAGTGACGTGAACAGTCTCTGACAGGGCAGAAGTGACGTGAACAGTCTCTGACTCGGCAGGAGTGACGTGAACAGTCTCTGACTCGGCAGGAGTGACGT